ACTATGTACTGGAAAATGAGGGCAGGGCTCCAATTAATGTGGGAAAAGTATTTTTGCATGTTTTAATAACTTTTAAGAGGAAATATAAGACTTAAGCTGTAACCATAATTACAGAAGCTAGCAATGGAAAGCACATTTGTTTGCTTAACTCATTTCTCAATATATACACAATTATGCGACACAAAATATAGGTGTTTCATTTAATGAATATTAATTTTATTCTACTGCTAAAGAAGCGGAGAGCCTCTAAAACAGAAGCAGGATCTGCGAGGAGGTTACTGCTATGTTTAGGTTTTGTTATTGCTGTTGTTATTGCATGACATTGAATCACCTGTGACCCACAGTGACCTTATCTACATTAGCTCTGAAACCAGTCTTATTCTGATGCAGTCTCGTTGTCTCTGACAGACCTAATCCCACTCCTCCAGGCACTGGGTCATCCGTATCATCCTGCACCTTCCTCTCCTGCACTGTCCTTTCACCCTTCCAAGCATGTTTTCCCTCGCCAAGGACTGGTCACTCCTGACAACATGCCCAGAGTATGTGAGACTAAAAATCCTTGGCTCTAGAAAGCAGCGTGATTTTACCCTTTCCAGGTTAGACTTGTTTTTCCTTTTTTCCCCCCTTTATATTTTGTTTAGGTGTAAAATATATTTTAAAAAAGAACCTTATAGCCACACTATATAATAGAATTAAACTGTTCCATGTGGCTTTCAAGGCTGCAATCTTTATGGAAACAGCTACACCTTTTCCAATGGAACAGTTGGTGATTATGAACCCCCAACTTTTTAGTTAGGGGCCACGTACATAACCACTGCTCCACCAGAAGTCCCTATTAGTAAAAATGTTGTTGTTGAGTGCTGTTGAGTTAGAACTACCCATAGCTTACCTTCCAGCCATTTTTCAGAGGCAGTAAATGGCACAGGTGCAGAATGCCTATCCTTTCACAGGTCAACTGGTGGATTCAAACCTGTGTGCCTTTGAGATGCAGCACAGCTTCTTACTAGGCCACCAGAGCTCCGTCAAAGAAAAATAGTATAGGTAAATATAGAGGAGTCATGCTAAGCGCCATTGCATCAACCTCACAATTGTGATGTCTGAGGTCCCTATTCCAGTTACTGGTCAATTCATCTCATTAGGGATCTTCTTTTTTTCTAACCCTCACTCAATCTTGATGCCTTTCTCCAGGGACTGACACCTCCTGAAGGCATACTCAAAGAATGTGAGAGGAAGTCTTGCCAGCCTTGTTTCTGAGGCTTTTCTTTTTCTAAGATAGACTTATTCTTTCTTCTGTAAGTCCATGTTTATTCAGTATTTGTCACTAACACTATAATTAAAAAGCATCACTTCTTCCTCTCTTTCCCTTATTCATTGTCCATCTTTCACATGCATATAAGGTAATTGGAGATAGCATGACTTGGTCAGGTAACCCTTAGTTCTCAATGTAACATTTTTGCTCCTGATTTTATAAAGTTCTGCAATCTGTATTTGATGAGCTGTCAATGAAGTAGCCAATTGGAAATGTCTTCTCGCTCTCTCTGTATATGTGTGTATGTACACATGTATAAATATGTATATATGTTCATATACACACACACACACACACACATATATATATGTATGTATGTATATATGTATATATATATATATATATACAGGCAGGAGTGGCATCTATTTCCTATACATCATGCCTCTGGGAACTCTATGAACTTTGATAAATGTCAATAGTTGTAGAGGGGCTTTAGGTCTTTTTTTTCATACAGTCGCTATGAGTCGTGCTCAACTCAACAGCAATCAACAACAACCTTGAATTTGAATGCTTGGCAAATCATTCAGGAAGCTAGACTGTATGTATGTCACGATTAGAGAAGACTCATCAACAATCTGCAGTATGTAGATGACACAATCTTGTTTGCTTAAAATAAAGGGGACTTGTATTTTTTGCTGCAGATGGTTAAAGATTAAAGCCGTCATATGAACTACATCTCAGTAGCAAGAAGACCAAAATTTGACTTTTTGACCAATAGACACTATCATGATACAAGAGAAAAGATTGAAGTTCTTGATGATTTAATTTACTTGGATCCACAACCAACAGCAAACAAGAAATCAAAAGGTTTGTTGCATTGGGTAAATCTGCTCTCAAGGACCTTGCCAACGTGCTAAAAAATAACTATATCAGTTTAAAGACTGAAGTATGCCTAATTCAACACATGGTCTTTTGAATTAATTCCTCTTCATCAGAATGTTTGACAATGATTAATGATGACAGAAGAAGAGCTAATGCCTTTGAATTTTGATGTTGGGAAAAAACCCACTGGTATCAAATGGACTACTAAAAGAACAATCCTAGTTGTATTTCAGTTTTGGAAGAAAAAGAGCTAGGATGATTTTTAAGTAGCTAGCTGGTGAATGGGAAGATGGGAAAGGTGGAGGGTTGGAAAAAGAGAGGAAGACTTTCACCAAAATAGTGACATAATGGTTGTAACAATGGGTTTTACCATACCAAGAATGCTGAGGATGGCACAGGATAGGGCGGGAGTCAGATCTGTTGTTCTGCGTCTCTATGAGTCTTACTCAGCATGATGGAATCTATCAACGACCAATTCCCAGATTAATGGACAATGTATGACTAGAATGACAGACTCCTTTCTGTACTGTTGATTTTGAACTGAATCCAAGGTTTTTAAAACCCAATAATTACCAACTATTCCATGTTCTTCATTTATCTTAAAAAATAATCTACCGTCAACTTTCTCTACCTAAAACTCAGACTCACTGACAAAGCCTTTGATTGTTGTAGACACTCTTGGCACCAGGTGTGAAGAAATCAAAAGACAAATTTCATTCAGACTCGCTGACAAGGATTCTGACCATACCGATAACTAACTTTCCAGCATGTTTTCTGAACCTCTGTATTACCCAAAAATAGACTGCCCAGTCTTCCGTGGAGCCACTGGTGTATTTTAACTCCCAGAGAGGTGCAGCTTTTGGGCTAGAAGTGCAAATCACTGCGGATTATGTGCCCAGAGCTCCCCTCTCTTTATTAAAGAAAGTAATTTTTAAAAGAAAGGAAAATGTCAAGTGTCCAAGTGTCACACCTCTTCTGTCATCAGAGAATGGAGATTTGCAATAATCCTTAAAAGGTATTTGGAATTCTGTGAGGATTTAAAGGGGGAATGACCAAGTGATTGCCTTTCCCCAAATGCTGAGTGAGCTGTATTGACAGATTTTTATTGTCAAGCATGCTTGTTAAACTACGTAAATGTTACTATGAGTCTTTCAGTGGAACAGGACAAAAGATGTGATATTAAAATATATTAATGATTTTTGAATTCTAAGATTAATGCTATTGTAAAAGATATTCTCTTATTACTTTCTCATTTTTACATTTTCATTTGTTAAGCATAAAGACTTTTAGATCATGTTAAAAAAATATCATTGACCTCCAGTTGGCAATGTTTCCTAGTTGACCCTCCATGGGCTTTTCTGTAATTGTAAATTACATGAGAGGAGATCGTAGTTCTTTCTCCTTTGAGTTTCTGATGGATTCTAACTTTGAGTGAGGAGTTGCCTTTGGGTAAGGAGAACACCTCCTGATGGAGTATGCCACCAGAGTGCAAATAAATATGTAACCATGCCATTGGAAATACATAAACCTTCAGAGGACCAAAGAAAGTACCTAACCCACTGCCATCACGTCATTTCCAACTCATGGCTACTTTCCATTGGATTTGGAACCATACATCTTTAAGGCAGGAAATTACCCATCCTTCTCACATAGAATAGCTAGTAAACCTTTCAGATAGCACTGGCCTTTCAGTAGTAATACTTTACACACTACATCATGAAGCCTCCACAAACTAGTTAAAAGTCAGTATACTAAATTACATCTTCACCTGTTGTTGCTGTTATGTGCAATTTAGTCACCTGAGACTCATAGAGACCTTATATGCACAGCTCTGAAGCCTGCCCTATCCTGAGCCAGTCTCACTGACTTTGAAACACCTACCCCCATTGCCCTACTTACTGTATCATCTCATCCCAGGGTCTTTCTCTCCTGTGCTGTCCCTCCCCCTTTCCGAGCATGATATACTTCTCCAAGGATCAGTTCCTACTGTCTACATGCCCAAAGTACATGAGATGGAGCTTCAGAATCCTAGCCTCCAAGGAGAAACTTGTTTTCACCCTCTCCAAGACAGACCTATTTGTTTTCTTGGTGGTCCATGGTATGTTCGAGACTATTCTCCAGAATCACAATTCGAATGCATCGATTCTTCTTATGTCATCCTTAATTATTGCACCTCTATGACACATAATAAGTAACTGTCAAAGCTATGGCCTGGATTAGGTGCACCTTAGTCTCTAGACTGACATGGTTGTTTTTCAGCACTCTGGAGAGGTCCCTGAGAGCACATTTTCCCAATGCAATTCATCTTTAGATTTCCTGATTGCTGGTGGTAAGAGTGTTGATTGTGGAGCTGAGCAAGCTGTATGCGTTAGCCACAATATCTTCTCCCCCTGTCATGGTGCTACCAATTGACCCAGTGAAAAGAATCTTTGTCTTTTTGATGTTTTGCTTCAACCGATATTGAAGACTATTGTCCTTGACCTTCTGCAGCAAGTGCTTCAGTTCCTCCTCAGTTTCAGCAAGCAAGGTTGTGTCATCTGCACAATGCAAGTTGTTGGGTCTTCCTCCAAACTTTTTTTTTTTTTTTAGCAAGTCAGAAAGGCAGCTTTAGTTTTGAAAAGTTAAATTAACAGTAGTCTGAAATAGCAACAGAATGTTTTACCCATCACCTTTACATCTATTTACAGTAGGGGAGTGAGGCTTCCCATAACCATGTGTATAGCCTTCAGTTTCAGGTGTATCTACCATTTCTTTCTTTTGGCTCTGGGCCTGACACTGGTCACAAAACGGGCACATATTTCAGTTTGACTGGGACTACCATCTGTTCTTCAGCACCATGTCCAAGGTGCCTCCAAGTCTGCTGCTGTTCCTAAGGGACACCCTGGGTTTCTGACTGATCCGAGGAAGTTTTACCTGGAACTGTGTGGGGCACCTCCGGCATTGTTTCAGGCGGGGGTCCACTCTCCTCGAGGAGGTGGCCCTGGTAGAGCCGGCATAGGCGGGACAGCTCTCTCTCTGGGGGTTGCTTCCAGCTGTACCATGGGTACCAGGAATCTCCTGAAACCAGAGTCGGGGCTGGTGGAGTACCACTCACAGCTCCATGAGAAGTACTGAAGTCAAGGTCACGGGGTTCAACCTGTGGAATGTGGTAACTGAGGAGACCAAGATCCGTGGCTTTCTCGATGGCCTTGGTCAACTTCCTGTGTTGCTTCATACAGACTCTTGTGTATGGAGCATGGTAGATAATACCAGTATGGGCGCAGACAAATTGTTCTAAGAGCTTGATGTTCCTGAAGTCTAAGTACAACTTGTGATCCCGGCAGATGGGGCAAAGGTTCCCAGCAACTTTATTCCCATGGATACATGTCTTTCGAGTCCGCTGTGAGGGTATGCCACCTTTGTGATTGCGACGGTAGTCACCTTTGTGATTGCGACGGTAGTCAGCCCAGACTGGGCGAGAACCATACCTGTTCTGGTACTCTTCTGAGTCAAGGTATTTCCAGCGTTCATCCTCATATGGAGAAACGGGAGCTGAAGGCAAAGACTCTTCCTCAAGGGAGGCTTTAGTGCAAAAAGCCTGAAAGGAAATCTGAACTCCCTGGGCACTTCTGAAAGACGAAAGTCTAGGAAACTGCCTCACCAGTGTGCCCAACGTGAAGGTCGCCAATCCGGGACTGCCTGTAAGGCGACTGCACCGGGTCTTCCTCCAATCTTGATGCTAAGTTCCTCCTCTTGTTGTTGTTTGTTGTTATGTGCCGTCGAGTCGTTTGCAACTCACAGGGACCCTATGCACAAGAGCCCTAGACCCTGCTCTATCCTGTGCCAATCGCACTGCCTCCGAAACACCCATCCCGATTACCCCAGTCACCGAATCAATCCATCTCATAGAAGGTCTTCCCTTCCTGCACCGTCCCTTCACCCTCCCAAGCATGATGTCCCTCTCCAAGGACCCGTCCCTCCTTGCAACATGCCCAAAGTGTGTCAGACGAAGCCCCAGAATCCTTGCCTCCAAGGAGTAGCTTGGTTTAATCCTCTCCAGGCTAAATCTGTTTGTTTTCTTGGCAGTCCATGGTACATTCAATACTCTTCTCCAGCACCACAGCTCAAAGACATCAATTCTCCTTCTGTCCTCCCTAGTCATTGTCCAACTCTCTGATGCATAACAAGTGATTGCAAAGACCATGGCTTGTATCAGATGCACCTTAGTCTCCAGAGAGACACCTCCTCCTAGAGCCCAACTTACCTGCCTCTTATCCTAAATTATCTGATATGCATATAGATTGGAAAGGCATGTAGACAAGACACATCCCTCTTCCTAATTTTGAACCATTAAGTGTTACTCTGCTTTGTTCTGAGGAGTACTTCCTGATGCAAGTACAGGTTTCACATAAGCACAATCAAGTGTTCTGGGATTCCCTTCTCCTCAAGGCACACTACAATTGTTGTGATTTACACAGATATCCCTCTGGTTGAGTCTTTAAACATGAATGAACAAAGACCAGATGAGTTGTGGGAGGAAATCAAGAAAAGGTCATTACAAAGACAGAAGAAGTAAAGACCAAAATGGATGTCAGAAGAGACTCTGAATATTGCACTAGAGTGCCGAAAAGCCAAAGCAAAGGGAAGAAATCAAGATGTTAAGAAGCTAAATAGAAGGTTTCTAAGGGCAGCATGGAAGACAAAGTAAAGTATTATAATGTAATGTGCAAAGAACTGGAGTCTGAAAGCATCGTCCCATTATTATAAGTCCTCATTTATCTTTGTCCGAGTTCAAGCTGTGCTGACTTTTGATGCCATTAAAATAATAAGCATATTTTAATGTCTACTGGTATCATTAGTAAAAAAGCAAACTGACAGACAAAAATCAGTTTTAATATAAGAGCTATGGTAGAGAAATAAACACTGATAAGTAATATTTGCTTAATGCAGTATCAATATTCCTGATATTTGGGAATTTTGAGGATAGGACATGATTCAGATCTGTTGTTCATAGGGTTGTTGTCCATAGAGTACAAATGAGATGTACTTGATATTAATGGCACCTAACAATAACAAGTATTATTAGTACATTTACTAAATGTACTTACCTTAAAGTTCATCTCTTCTCAGATAAATTAAAGAGTGTATTTTATTTTTCAATGGAAGTTTTATGCATTTCATTCCAAAAATACTAACCAAATTTGACAAAACATTTTCATATGGTAATAATGTTTCAACTAAGCTATTTAACATGTCAGATATTATTAGTTTTAATCAGTCAAAGAGCACCATTGTGACCTCAATCTTTCATCTAGAGTGGTACTAGAAGTCTCACAGCAAAAGTGATGTTTTTAGTCATGTGACATGAGTGAGCATTTATCTATTTTGGCATATGTCCAAATATATTTTCATTATATGTTTTTTTTCTTCCCTCTATGGAGTATGTGTGTGTGTTTGTGTATAAATGTCAATCAGTCATAGCAATGAAGTTGGACCTGACTCATAGCGAACTCTTTAGCCAATTTTCAGAGGCTGTAAATTCTGTGGGAGGAGATGGTTCATCTTTCACCTATGGAGCAGCTGTTGGATTTATGGCTTTAAAATGCCTGCGTTCAGGTTGGCAGCACAACTCCTTACTTCTAGGCCACAACTCCTTGCCATAAGCA